TAAAATCAATTCAAACAAACGGGTAGGTTTTGACTTCTTTCGGACTCTATGGGTTAAACTTTAAGAATTAAACTAAACTCATATTCTCATGCATTGATTGTAAATTGAACTCTCTAAAGTGTCCAACATACCTTCTCAGGCAATGTTGTCCTACTCTTCCCTATTAACCTTCCGCACCCAACAAAATGAAAGTTAATAGTCTTTCTTAACATAAAATCCTAGATTGATTTCATGGGTTCTTGAATCTATCTTTAGCATCCAATAATACAACGTGATTACCCAAGAAGCTTAACAAATTTCTCTCAATCTCATCATGTTCATCACATACTGATGCGTGTTTCCTACAACATACAATATGTAGCAAGTATCTATTCGCACTAAGTAATAAAGTGATGAGTGAGTATCGTCCCACGAGGATAGTGTTACTAAGCACCGATTTTTCTAGTTTAAGTCCTAATTGAAGCAACAATAAATTGATTGATGGAAAATTAACAAACTAAATACAAATTAACAAAATGAATGATAATGAAATTAAAGCAAAACCCACAACTTAACTACTTAAACAATGCTAAAAAAATGCTAGGGTGTTGATTTCACCTATAACGCTATCCAAATCATAGAATCTATTACCCAAATTCTAATTCCTTGATTGAAAATCGAATTCCCTAAGTTGTAAAACATACCTTCTCAGCTACATTTCCCTACTTATCCCTATTAAGCTTCTACACCCAACAAATTGAAAATAATAGTTCAAGTCTTTTAAGCTTTATGGAATTCTATCTAGATTTCATAGATCGCTAAACCTATCTCTAGTGTTTGCTTTATCTATGGTATTTATCCCAAGAGGCACAATCACAAATCACTTCTCAGTCTCATTGTGAACAACACACATTTAAATGGTGATCAAGCACCCAAAAATCATTAAGCACAGAGACAAACACTCAATCATGAAATTAAAACTCAAAGTAAATCAATCTATGAAATTTGAATCATTGTATCAATTACATCAAACCCTAGCTAACACCTCAGTTCATACTCAAAACGAAATAAAACAACAAAAACAAACTGAATCAAGATTCATCATTGAAAAGCAAACAAAAGATGGAGAAATCTTCTCTATTTGAAGCCCAAATCTTCATAATCTTCTCCTTCCATAAGCTGCCTCCCAAATGACGAACCGAGACTCTTTTCTCTTCCTTTCCGCTCAATTTATACCTCTCTCCACTTAAGGACGAAGCCATAGCAAGCCAAAACGCGTTGTTTTATTTTTAAATCTGACGCCGGTCACCGCAGCGAAGCTTTGTCTTTGCCACGGCTAAGACGTTTGGGCAAATATGAGCATGATAGAGTCTGAATCTGAAAAGGTGTTAAACATAGGATTGTAGCCCTTTAAATTATATTTCCAGTAGTTCAAGAATCAGAACATATGAGGTCTACAGCTACTTATGGCAGACATACTGAAGCACGCCCAAAGACATTTTTCTTCAGTTCCCAGCGTACTTTTCACAACTTCAGCCAAGTTTTCACCCTTTTCCAGTCAGACTTAGGAAAACCCAAAACATGAAAGTTGTAGCTCTTCTTCTTAGCTTTCCAAATCTTCTAATCAGGTCATTCTGAGTTTCCAAGCTCAAGTTACACAATTTACGCTCAAACGGTCATTTATGCTAAAAATCACCGTTTAGGCCTGCAAGACAAATTAATAGAATAGGCAGCAATTATAGCCCAAATTGTATGAAAAGTATCCTAAATCCTATCAAAATTCAATGCAAATATCAGGTGTAAAAATGATTATCACATAAAAACAATAAATATAGAATAATCACACATCAAAACAAAATCATATGAAATTAATAATCATCAACTTTCTAACCCATTAGAATCCGAACTACATCAAAACCCTAACCCAAAATAGGTTAGTTCATGGCTAAATCAATAAAACAATTAAAAGAAATGAAAAACTCCAGGTTCAACATAATGGAAACAAAAGAAAAGGAAAAGAATCTCCCCAAATTGATGAATCCACTGGTCTCCTCGAATCTTCCAACTTGTTAATCCAAAATTACTCAAAAATGAATCTAAAATAATGTAAAAACTCTCTCTATCTCTCCAGGAATGCCCTAAACAAAAGACTAAGTCTTTCTTTTATACCTTGCCCAAAATATACAACTTAGCCTAAACACGAAACTGTGCGTTTTACAAAAAGTAGTACGCGGACTTCGCCCGGCGAAGGAATCTCGCCGCGGCACAAAGGAGCTGATCTGATGTGTCACTGGCCCATTTCGCTGCGAAGAAGTTTCTTGAAGAATTCTAAAATTCCAGAATTGCCCTCTGCATGCTTCTGATTCCAAAAACTCCAAATCTACCTTTATTCGCTCAAAATTTTCATTTTTAACCTGAAACACGAATGTAAGGAATTAAGTATCAATTCAGGCAAAAATAGACTAAGAAGTATCTAAAATCCGGCCTAAAAGCTTAATAAACTAGTATAATCCTCGGATTATCATCCACTATGTTGGTGATAGATTCCTTACATTAAGAAATGACTTAGCCTTTTTGGACGTTTGAGCCTTTCCAGCCAACCTTATTTATGCTATTATCCTTAGTCATCCGTTGAGCTCTTGCTATATATATTTAGCCTTGATTTTCTTTCTTTCAACCCACAATAACATGTCCATTTAACCCTTAAAGACATTTCCTACCCATGATTTTCTTTTATGGGAATTAATCTGAATTTTTTAATGTGAAATATGTGTGGCTTCGAGATTTGTATAAGACTTTGTGGGATATTCGAAAGAACGGTTGGGAGTTGTTGTGTGGGACAAAGAGGATGTTGGGTGATATCCATGCTTCCTAAATTTCTAAAGTTAATGTTTTAATTGTCCAATAGTGTACAAAAAAAAAAAAAAAAAAAAAAAAAAAAAAAAAAAAGCAATTCAATAACGAAGTATGAAAAGGTTAAATTCAATTGTGGTCGGGGAGAGTGATGCACACACACACACATATAATAACGGTTTCGGGTTTGAGAGAGTAAGTTGTTTTGGGTGACTGTGTTTTGTGAACGTTGTTAGTAAATGACCCATTTCCGCAGTGGAAAAAAAATCACCGTTTATACAATATATATATTAAATCTGCAAAAAATATTTTCAGGTTTAAGGAATAATACGCACGTTTGGAGGTTCCTCCAAGTTGTCTCTGAACGTATTTTGCTACCGACCCAAGTGTAGGATCGAACCAACGTAGTCCACACGAAGACAATCGCAAGGAACTAAAGATTGATTTGCTAGATCCCTCTTTAGCCTTAAGAACAAAGAAGAAAAATCAAAGAAGAACTTTGATTCTTTACAAAAGCAAAATCCGGCGTGAGAGTGAGAAATAAGGGCTATGTGTTTTCTTTCAAAATGAATGAGTGAAATGAATAATGTCTTTCTAATTTCAATTAACACTTTTTGCTTTTATAGTGTTATTTTAATTGCCCTATTCCCATATGGAATGGCTTGGGCTCCAACCCAAACACCCCATGTTTCCAAACACTCCCAATTAGATATTTACTATATTTCATCATTATCTTAATTAAATCAATTATATATATTTAATATATATATATATTAACATTTAACAAAAATGATAATTTATTTAAATATATGCGAACACATATTTAAACGATAATTTCATTTATTTAATTTTTCTAACAATTAAATAAAGGCTACGACCTTAGCAAATTAATTGCACTGTGAAATTACCAAATACCCTTTCACCCAAAAAGACGAAAACGCCATTCTAACTGCTTGGCTCTTAAATTATCTTCTATGTGTGTGACCCATAGGCTCCTCATCATACCGGTAGTTTATAGTATCACGATTAACACCAATTAATCGTCTCACTATACACAGACCAAGATTGGCCCCTAGCAAGGCATCATGGCCACCCGATAGATTCGAATTTAGCAAAGTAGCTACTTGTCAACGATATGGTTACCGTACAATTTGATCCTTTCATCATATGTTATCTTGACGAGACGAAGGCATAGAAATAGTGTCAACCTTCAGTTACTCTCGATATTATGTATTCAGTTTTGATAATCCGAGAATTATACTATTTTATCTAGGCTTTTTGACCGGATTTTAGATATTTCTTAGTTCGTTTATGCCTAAATTGCTACTTAATTCTATATATTTTATGTTTCAAGCCAAAGCGTACATTTTTAGCAAATAATGAGCGAATTGGAGTTTCTAGACTCAGAAGTAAGCGGATCTCAGAATTAGGGAAAGTTCCGAAGCAGATTGAAGCACTATGAAGTTTGTTTCCATGAGAAAGCATCGAATATAGAAGATTCAAGGAAAAAGCAAGCCGAGGGAAATACTGTAATTCCAAAACTTTTCAGGAAGGTTCGCCGCGGCGAAAGTAGCTAAGAGCGAGATTTAGTTTTAGTTCGTCACCGCGGCGAAGTCTACGAATTTTAGTTTTCTCCAAAATGCAAAGTTTTATTTTAGGAAAGTTTTAGGTCTTTTGGGCGAGCTATATAAGAAAAGCCTTGCCATTTTGAGAGTGGTTCGTCTAGTTTCATCTGGTTTTTCATTGAGTTTTGAATAGATTTGACATTTTTGTTGAGAAAGTGAGAAGATTTGAGATTCAACCTCATGGATTCTTCAACTAGGGGAGATTCCTTTTCTTTTCTCTTTATTTCAATATGTTGAATGCTACGTTTACGGTTTCTCTTGCTGTTTGTGTTGATTTAGTTATGAACTAACCCATTTTGGGTTAGGGTTTTGATGTAACTCGGATTTCTATGGGTTAATCAATTGATTATTCTTATTTTTAGATTCTATTGCACAGATTGTGTGGTTATTCTGTTTTTATTGATTTTATTTGATGAATATGATGAGATTGAGAAATGAATCATGTTGAGCTTCTTGGGTAATAGTCCTTCGATACTGCATCCACCATGGTTTGCAATTACCCATCAGTCATTGTAGAAAGTTTTGACTTGAAGCCAAACTGGCAACCCATGGTGTGTACATTTCCTCATCAATTCCTTGTACCTCTCCCAAGCCTATACAATGACTCGGTCCTCTTGTAGAAATGATTTGATATCATTTCTCAGGTTTGCTGATTTGCTGGAGGAAAGAACTTAGTCAGGAACTTCTGTGCTAGATCATCCAAGTTGTGATAGTCCCTGCGGTAGTGCCATTAACCACCCTTTAGCTTTATCCCCAATGAGAATGGGAATAAACTCAACCTAATGGCGTATTTGACACTCCGTTCAACTTGAAGGTGTCACAAATTTCCAAGAAGTTTGCAATATGCTGATCGGATCTTCCTTCAAATCACCATTAAACCTTACCGACTGCTGGATCATCTGAATGATTGCCGGCTTAATCTCAAAGTTGTTGGCTTGCACCGTAGGCCTAGTAATACTCGACCCACTGCCATTAACCATGGGAACTGAGAATCCTTAGTGTCCTGTTTTTGGTTCTGCCATTTCAACAACTATTTCTTCTGTTTCAACCACTAAATCCTTTATTTTCTTCTCTCTCTGTTAAGTCGTCTGGGGTTTCTCAATCTCCAGATCAACAGGAACCATTGGTTGACGTCTCGCTCTTCACATAAACTGCACAGAATTAACGAAAGAAAGTGAGATCACAAACAACTGAAAATTTAAAATAGAATTAAAACTTCAATTAGCTCAACTATAAAACTCAATGTTAACTTAAAACTCATCCCTGGCAACGGCGCCAAAAACTTGATGCATGTTTCATAAACATGCAATATGTAGCAAGTATACTAGTCGCACAAGTAATATAATGATGAGTGAGTATCGTTCCCACGAGGATTTTGCTAAGCTTAAGTTTCCTAACGTTTCAAGTTGAAGCATCGAATTCTTTTGGATTTAAGGGAGCAATTTAAACTATATAAAACAAAACTTTACTAAAATAAACTTTAACATGAAAGCAAGATTAAAACGGGATAAAATCAATTCAACAAAAGGGTAGGGTTTGACTTCTTTCGGACTCTAGGGTTAAACTTAGAATTAAACTAAACTCATATTCTCATGCATTGATTGTAAATTGAACTCTCTAAAGTGTCCAACTACCTTCTCAGGCAATGTGTCCTACTCTTCCCTATTAACCTTCCGCACCCAACAAAATGAAAGTTAATAAGTCTAAGTTCATTAAGCATAAGAATCCTAGATTGATTTCATGGGTTCTGAACTATCTTTAGCATCCAATAATACAACGGTGATTACCCAAGAAGCTTAACATGAATTATCTCTCAATCTCATTGTTCATCACAACTGTGCGTGTTTCCTACAACATACAATATGTAGCAAGTATACTAGTCGCACTAAGTATAAAGTGATGAGTGAGTATCGTCCCACGAGGATAGTGTACTAAGCACCGATTTTTCTAGTTTAAGTCCTATTGAAGCAACAATAAATTGGATTGATGGAAAATAACAACTAAATCAAATTAACAAAGAATGATAATGAATTAAAGCAAAACCCAACAACTTAACTACTTAAACAATGCTAAAAATGCTAGGGTGTTGATTTCACCTAGATACGCTAATCCAAATCATAGTCTATTACCCAATTCTAATTCCTTGATTGAAAATCGAATTCCCTAAGTGTAAAACATACCTTTCAGGCTACATTTCCCTACTTATCCCTATTAGCTTCTACACCCAACAAATTGAAAATTAATAGTTCAAGTCTTTTAAGCTTTATGGAATTCTATCTAGATTTCATAGATCGCTAAACCTATCTCTAGTGTTTGCTTTATCTATGGTATTTATCCCAAGAGGCACAACACAAATCACTTCTCAGTCTCATTGTGAACAACACACATTTAAATGGTGACAAGCATCAAAATCATCAAACAACAACAAGCACAGAGACAAACACTCAATTGAAATTAAAACTCAAAGTAAATCTTCATAGAAATTTGAATCATTGTATCAAGATTACATCAAACCCTAGCTAAACAACTCAGTTCATACTCAAAACGAAATAAAACAACAAAACAAAATGAATCAAGATTCATCATTGAAAAGCAAACAAAAGATGGAGAAATCTTCTCTATTTGAAGCCCAAATCTTCAATAATCTTCTCCTTCCATAAGCTGCCTCCCAAATGACGAACCGAGACTCTTTTCTCTTCCTTTTCGCTCTAATTTATACTCTCTCACTTAAGGACGAAGCCATAGCAAGCCAAAACGCGTTGTTTTATTTTTAAATCTGACGCCGGTCACCGCAGCGAAGCTTTGTCTTTGCCACGGCTAAGACGTTTGGGCCAAATATGAGCATGAAGAGTCTGAATCTGAAAAGGTGTTAAACATATGAATTGTAGCCCTTTAAATTATTTTCCAGTAGTTCAAGAATCAGAACAATATGAGGTCTACAGCTCAAGTTATGGCAGACATACTGAAGCACGTCCAAAGACATTTTTCTTCAGTTCCCAGCGCTACTTTCACAACTCAAGCCAGTTTTCACCCTTCCAGTCAGACTTAGGAAAAACCCAAAACATGAAAGTTGTAGCTCTTCTCTTAGCTTCAAATCTTCTAAATTCAGGTCATTCTGAGTTTCCAAGTCCAAGTTACACAATTACGCTCAAACTGTATTTATGCTAAAAATCACCGTTTAGGCCTGCAAGACAAATTAATAGAATTAGGCAGCAATTATAGCCCAAATTGTATGAAAAGTATCCTAAATCCTATCAAAATTCAATGCAAAATCATAGTGTAAATATGATTATCACATACAACAATAATATAGAAAATCACACAATCAAAACAAAATCATATGAAATTAATAATCATCAACTTCTAACCCATTAGAATCCGAACTACATCAAAACCCTAACCCAAAATAGGTTAGTTCATGGCAAATCAAAAAACAATTAAAAGAAATGAAAAACTCCAGGTTCAACATAATGGAAACAAAAGAAAGGAAAAGAATCTCCCCAAATTGATGAATCCACTGGTCTCCTCGAATCTTCCAACTTGTTAATCCAAAATTACTCAAATGAATCTAAAATAATGTAAAAACTCTCTCTATCTCTCCAGGAATGCCCTAAAAAAAGACTAAGTCTTTCTTTATACCTTGCCCAAAATAATACAACTTAGCCTAAACACGAAACTGTGCGTTTTACAAAAAGTGGAGTACGCGGACTTCGCCCGCGCGAAGAAGCTCTGCCGCGGCGACAAGGAGCTGAATCTGATGTGTCACTGGCCCATTTCGCTGCGAAGAAGTCTTGAAGAATTCTAAAATTCCAGAATTGCCCTCTGCATGCTTCTGAGTCCAAAAACTCCAAATCTACCTTTATTCGCTCAAAATTTTCATTTTTAACCTGAAACACGAAATGTAAGGAATTAAGTATCAATCAGGCAAAAATAGACTAAGAAGTATCTAAAATCCGGCCTAAAAGCTTAATAAACTAGTATAATCCTCGGATTATCATCCACTATGTTGGGTAGATAGATTCCTTACATTAAGAAATGACTTAGGCCTTTTTGACGTTTGAGCCTTTCCAGCCAACTATTTATGCTATTATCCTTAGTCATCCGTTGAGCCTCTGCTATATATATTTAGCCTTGATTTTCTTTCTTTCAACCCACAATAACATGTCCATTTAACCCTTAAAGACATTTCCTACCCATGATTTTCTTTTAGGAATTAATCTGAATTTTTTAATGTGAAATATGTGTGGCTTCGAGATTGTATAAGACTTTGTGAGGATATTCGAAAGAGGGTTGGGAGTTGTTGTGTGGGACAAAGGAGGATGTTGGTGATATCCATGCTTCCTAAATTCTAAAGTTAATGTTTTAATTGATCCAATAGTGTAAAAAAAAAAAAAAAAAAAAAAAAAAAAAAAAAAAAAAGCAATTCAAACGAAGTATGAAAAGGTTAAAATTCAATTGTGGTCGGGGAGAGTGATGCACACACAACACACATATATAAACGGTTTCGGGTTTGAGAGAGTAAGTTGTTTTGGGTGACTGTGTTTTGTGAAACGTTGTTAGTAAATGACCCATACGCTAGTGAAAACAAAAATCACCGTTTATACAATATATATATTAAATCTGCAAAAAATATTTCAAGGTTTAAGGAATAATACGCACGTTTGGAGGTTCCTCCAAGTTGTCTCTGAACGTATTTTGCTACCGACCCAAGTGTAGGATCGAACCAACGTAGTCCACACGAAGACAATCGCAAGGAACTAAAGATTGATTTGCTAGATCCCTCTTAGCCTAAGACAAAGAAGAAAAATCAAAGAAGAACTTTGATTCTTTACAAAAGAAATCCGGTGAGAGTGAGAAATAAGGGCTATGTGTTTTCTTTCAAAATGAATGAGTGAAATGAATAATGTCTTTCTAATTCAATTAACACTTTTGCTTTATAGTGTTATTTTAATTGCCCTATTCCCATGGAATGGGCTTGGGCTCAACCCAAACACCCCATGTTTCCAAACACTCCCAATTAGATTTTACTATAATTCATCATTATCTTAATTAAAATCAATTAATATATATTTAAATATATATATTTAACATTTACAAAAATGATAATTATTTAATATATGCGAACACATATTTAAACGTAATTTCATTTATTTAATTTTCTAACAATTAAATAAAGGCTACGACCTTAGCAAATTAATTGCACTGTGAAATTACATAGATTCCACAACCAATTTATCCACCACATCGACACTAAAACACGAATCTGATTCGGATGTAAACTTCATCGCCTCAAAGACATTGAAAGTTACTGTTTCATCTTGAACTCTCAACAGTAGCTTTCCTTCTTGCACATCTATTAGTGCTCTCCCCGTGGCCAAGAATGGTCGGCCCAAAATGAGAGGAATTTCCTTATCCTCTTCCATATCTAGAACCACAAAATCAGTTGGAAAAATTATCTTATCCACCTTCACTAACACATCCTCCACTATCCCCCTCGGATGTTTTATGGACCTATCCGCTAGTTGCAACGACATTGTCGTTGGCTTCACTTCACCAATTCCTAATCTCCTGAAAACAGAAAAGGGCATTAAATTAATACTATCACCTAAATCACATAAAACAAGATCAAACATAATATCTCCTATAG